GAGTGCATTTGTCACTTAGGGGCTTAGGGGTATTTCTTGGACCCTAACCACAAGCCAACAATTGCCCACAGCCATGTTTTCTTCCGCCTCCCCACCGTTTTCCCCAACCCCCCTTTCCCTGCTTGGAGAAAACACAAGCTCTCTCCCGCCTTCCTCTCTTTCCCCTTTCCCCCCCTTGCCACCCCTTACCCCTCCTTACTATCCCGTACTACCCCCCCTTCAAACAACAGTCCAACCATCCATCCCACCCGCCAAACTCTGCCTGCCCCTTCCCAGCCGCTCCTGCGCCGCGTTCTTCACCGCCTCCTTCCTCCTCGCCGCCGGCCAGGGCCGCGCCGCTTCCGCCGCCTTCAAACCGCCAGCGGTCCACTGGACCCGCGAGGCGAAGATGAAGGTGGAGTCCATCTCCCCGAGCTCTGCCTCCGCTTCGGAGGCGCACGCGACGCGATCCAAACCCATCGATGAACTTGGTCCACCCAGGAGAAATATCTATCGGGAAGTGGGCCTCACACCCACAGATCAAATTTTGCGTGTGGCTCAACAATGAAAAAGTAACGCAGGTGTTGGTCCATGTTTCCACTTTCCAGGGTTCCATTTTGGGTACCGGTTTTCGTGAGTGATCGCAAAAGCGATCGAACAAATACAAATGGCCTACCCATGAGAAATAAGCAGGCAGCGAAGGCATCCATTTAGCATAGACACCAGCTACAGGAAATTCTACAGGAAGTTAGCCACATACCCACAAGAATCATATATTTCTATACAATTTCCTGTAGTTGGTTTCTCAGAATTTATGGTTGGGAGTATCCCGGTACCCCTTACTAACCTTCATCGGGTTTTGATTCTGGCGCAAGTGATCACCACCACGAGAGATCCACTCAATCCAGCTGCCCGCCCCCCGCGATTTAACGAGGAACAAACAACAGGTGTCACCGCCATGTGAAAAAATGGGCATGGCGAGCCTCTCGGGCCGAAATGGGTTCCAGGCTGCAAGCGATTGCACAATCACGTGCGTAGCATCCAAAAAAGAAACACGAGAACCCCCGCCCCCAACTTATTAATTGGGGCATCTTGAACAGAAAGGCACATCATGGAACCGAGAAAAGGGGCCGGCAACAACTAGCTTTCTCCACAAATAGTGTTGTTGGAAAATAAGCTTTCTCCACAAACTGTGGGTTGTTCGGTTCCATGTGAATCTGGGGGAAGCCCCCCAGTGACTTGTTCCGCTATGCATTTAGGCCCCGCTGAGAGAAACGCATCCCTACGGGTTTAATCAGGAAACTAACACATATGTAACATTTGTGCCCCTGCAAAGTACAATCAAACCCACAACTGAAGGCCCCAGACAACAATGGCACAATCTGCAGGGGTGTACCTTTGTAACCCATGCGGGTTGTTCTCCCTGCGGGGGGGGGGGGGTAACCACCAAAATGAGGATGCCTTGCTGTAAACAACCACCTTCGACAAACAGACCTGCCCGTGTGCCTATGCATTGTACAACTACAGTACATGTATGTCCGTGTGTGTATATATGTATGACATAGGTATCATTTCATTCTGAGAACAACCTTTACGTAAACTTATGATTCTACGGGAACCTCCAGGCATCTTTACAGGTCCAAAAGCCAATTCGCATTGACCCCTGAATACCCTTTCCAAAAATAACCGAAGTAGGCACAGGGTTCCGGAAGACAACAAAATCACGCTTTGAAAGAAGCCTCGTTCTTGTTGAAAAACGGCAAAGCCGCTACCCTTCCGTACCTGGAAGATTAGCTTCCTGAAAAAAACAACCTGTGGGGTGCCATGTGACAGGGTAGGCATTCTTGACAAAGGACATGGATTCCTCCAACGCCAGTGCCACAAAAGCCCCGGGTCTTGTGCTTCTCTTGGCCATGGCCACCTCCCACAACCCGACCTCGGACCTGCGAGATTTGTCCTGCATATGGGTGTGGTGGTTGTTCTCTTGGTTCTCCAAGAGAAACCAACCCAACAAGCAGCTCACAAAAGCAAAAGAGGAGTTCCTCCAAAAACCAAAAGGAGTTCCCTCACCCCCAAACAAAATCAAGGACAGCCCCACAGCCTTCCGGTCCCCTCACGCGAGCGGCTCCGCGGCTCCGAGCGCCCACCTGCCGCACCAAGCGCTGGGTGCCAGGCGCCAGTTGGAAGCCCAAGGCCGCGCAGGCCTCGCAGGTCCAATTCCGCAGCGCCTCGTCCGCCCCGCCTCAGACTCCGAACTGAATTGGACCCAGGAACCCTATGTTGCAACCAAGATTCTTTAGGGGAGCAACCTGACCCATGTTCAGGTCATAAATCTGGGTCGCTCGTCACTCTGGTATTCGGGCTCTTCAGGGTCTGGGCCTGCAAAACAAAGGCCTATTTTATGCATAATGTGCATAATGTGCATAATGTGCATAATGTGCATAATGTGCATAAAAAAAGGAAGGAAGGACAGAAATAAAGAAAGAACAAAAGAACGAAAGAAGGAAATAACGAACGAACAAACGAAAGAAAGAAAGAAAGAAAGAAAGAAAGAAAGAAAGAAGGAAACCAACCAACCAACCAAACCAGATAAACCCGCAAACAAACAAACAAACAAACAAACAAACAAACAAACAAGCATTCCAAGCAAGCAACCAAACAAAACAAACATGAGTCAAGCTGTGGTCCGTCCATAAGTTTGGCCTTCATGATGATTTCCACCCAAACACGGCACTACAATGAAACACCTTCAACCATGGCCATTGCCGGAGCCTTCCCCGGGTGAGGGTAACTCTGCTTAACCCGCACTTGTTGTTGGTTCTAAACCGAATTTTCTGCCTAGCAGCATGCCAATAGAAAGACGCTTGCTTGCTCAAATCCCCTGCCCAGCCGAGGAATGGCCAACTGCAACTTGCACCGTTGGACTGCCAAAGCAGCACGTCTCTTCGTTTCTCTCGCCTTTGAGGGCATGGGGCAGGCGCCCAGGAACCACATGTATCTGTGTACATGCCAAAACTGACAAAAACAGATCCCCAATCATCTTCTCTCCCATTGCTAGCTGGAATGCATTCATGCATGCAGTCGTATCTATCCATCTATCTATCGGTCCTCCTATCTGCCTATCTATCTACAAAATCTGTCTATCTACGGATTTAACTTACGCTGCAAGTAACTCTTTCATCCAACCTCCTCCCCCAGCTGCCCCAGCCGTCCCCCACGGAGGGACTCCATGCTTTTCCAAGGGGCAGAAGGCGGCTTGGCTCAAGGAGCCGAAGGCGCGAGCCATGTTCAAGTTAAACTGCTCGCTGCTGGGCACCTGAAAAGTGCGACTGCGCTTCGGCGACTTCTCCCGGGGGTGGGGAGGTAAGGGGGGGGAGGGGGGGGAATGGGGGAATGGGGGTGGATGGTGTGGGATGGGGGGGAAACACCAAAATTGCAGCGGTTAGCGGCAGTATTTCCAATGGAAAACCACCTTGGCATGGAAAATCAAGTGGCTCAGTTTCCCTTGCCACTAGAAGGCACCTGTGGGCTACCAGCAAATGCTTAGGGACAAACGGATGGGGTCAATCAAGGTTGACTTGGACCCTGGCGCCAAAACGGGGGACTCCTTGAGTTGTGCATGTTCCTCCATTTCATGACCTCACGGGCAAAGGGGGCAAGCCATTGGGAGACTTGACAAAGCTCCAACCCAGGTGCTGCTTTGGCCTACTTTGTGCCTGACGGCCAAGCAACCTACCCGCGCCTCTACAACTGACTGGCGTCTTCTCACCTTTTGCTGCAGCAGCTGCATTTCCATTGCGCTCATCTCGGACCTGCAAGCTGCGAGGCTGCGGGTTGCTGCTGACCCCTCTGCAAACAGATTAACTTTTTGCGGCTTCAGTGGACAACCCCTTGATGTCCCAAAAAGTCAAAGTCTAAAGATCCAACCCAAGAGCAGCCAAGAATGCATCTCTCTGCTGGCGAACAACACAAAGCGCAGCCCTCGCATCAGGCGCCGGCTCTTCGATTCCTTCGACATCGTCGAGCAGGTCGCCGCAACACCTGCCGATTTTGCAAGGGATTGCCAAAGGCATCAACTCCACTACCTCCAGCACAACGACCCCCGCCGGCTTCATGCACTGCAAAAAAGATAGACCTGATAGAACCCAAAATTTTCTCCTCCGTCCCGGTTGTGGTTTCAGGGTAGTGAAACTCATTTTAGAGACTCCCAAACACCTCTGCCGAAGATCCAGTCAAAGGCTGCTACGCCATGCCCGTAGCCGAGCCACAAAAGGGGCAGAAGTGTCCACAAGAGCCATGTGGCCATGGGATGGAAGACTGAGCACATGAGGAGCAAGCTAACCAGCTTAGATTATCCAGCCGGGCTTCGTCCTGTTGCGCTTGCAAATGCCTTTTCTTTGGGAAGACCCCCTTTCTTCTCCTCTTTCTGTACCAGGATGTCTTCCCCAACAATGATGATGCCATCCCAGCATCACTGATCACACCTTGATGCTTGGTGATTGCAGGGGCTTGTTTTGAGCCATCCCCATATTCCTCAAAAGCGCGGCAACAAGCAGAACTAGCGGATGACAGCCACTACTCCATGGCAATCAACAGCTGCTCTGTTTTTGGGATCAAATGGCTGTGGGTCAAAAATAGGGGCCCAAAATGGAAAAGTCGACTAAAACCTGCGTATCCCTGTTTTTTTTTTGGAGCCACACCCAAATGGACGGTTGGCCAGATAGGGTTTCCCTGGCCCCCGGCCTTGAGCCGGGACTGAGAACAGAAGCGGAGCGGTGCAGCAAGTAGAGTCAAGAAGCGCAGAGACCAACGAAACCTATGCGAAGACCTCGTTTCCCACAAACGAGGGGATTCGAAGAGACTCATGACTCATGCCTGTGGTCGTGCGACTTGTGAATCATACGTCTCTTCACTGGCGAAAAGGCTGGGCATGGCATATCACATGCTCGACCGTTCTTTTTAGGAAGCACGCATGGCATGCTGGGCGTCGGAAGGGAAGCAAACTCCTCTCGGGCCCAGACATGGAGCAGGAATGCAGCGTCTGGCCGTGGAGAACGCGCCTTAGGCGTTGGGTGACCAAAGGGTTCTGGGATGCTGCACTGGTATTACAATTGTTTAACCAATCCCGTGTAAGGAATCAAACAGGCAGCTGCACCCACTTATGGCAAAGTGATCACAACGCAAGGGTGGATGTTACCCTGCCATCCTACCCACTCTGGATCCTCAGTAAAGCCACACGCAAGTCAATGCTCGCGCTTCAGGGAGGAGTAGGCAAATGACTGCGCTGAAAGCTACTACCATGGTCGATGATATACTGCACTTGAGTTAGGCTCTCTGTGCCCTCATGTTGTTCACCCGAGTTGGGGCGAACATTCTTGGAGCTGTCTCGCGTCAGTGAGGTCAGCTTTTGTGGCGCAGGTTTTGAGCATTTCAGGTATGTGGAAAGAACTCGAGAGTGTGTAGGCCTGTTTGGTGTCTTGTGAAGCGTGCGCTTTCGCTCTATTCAATTGCAGTGTGGATTCTGTCAACCCCTTCGACTTACCCGGCGCCTTGTCTTCTCACACCACAACATGTTTCCTGGCGGCAGCAGCCGCCACAACGTCTCTTCATACTGTTTCCTTTTGCATGAAAAAGGGCTAGGCAACCGGCACATTTCATAAGGGGAGCTGGAAAGGTAGACAATAGCCTCGAGCTCCTGATAGGTGTAGCTCGATATCTAACAGCTGGGGTACGCGGGTTTTAGTCTTTGTTTCCATATGCCAAGGTGCCATTTTGGTACCATTTTTGAGCCACACCCTGATTTTGTCCGCAATATCTTTGAACAGTTGGACTTTGTTGGCTTCTTGCTCCCCGGTCAACCCACCTCAGTTGGGGGAGTGGAACGAGCGTTTGCTCGACGCCTGGCCAACCCGATCCCAGCCCTCATACATCAAGATGCGCTTTTCCACCGGCATCGAGGGTGAGGTCCCCCTGGCAGTGCTTGACTGAGCCATCATCGTGCTACCGGTGGCGGCACAAAATGGTCAGAGCAAAATGCATCCCACATTAGGCCCTTACCTTCAATCAACATCATCAAGCCGCCCTGCCTTCGTAAGCATTCTTCTGGCCAAACAGCTACAGTGTCACAGAGCTATGTGTTCAGCCCTGATGACGTGACCCTGAGACAAACAGAACAGTCAGCCTGCCTCATTCATACGGCACACCGTGTGCCAACCTCGGGCCGATTTCTTGTTGCTGTGGGGTTCCACGTTGACTTTCAGTAAAATGGCTGCCAAATCAGCCTTGCGACCCAACTTGAACGCTGGCGCGGGCATTTGGATGACCAGCCCATGGCTGGGAAACTCAATCCAGTCCACAGAACCTGACTGGGGTCCAGTCAAACCTTAGTTGTCTTCTGGTTGGGCTCGAGTTGGCGTCGTGGGAGGGCAACTCACTTGAGTTGCTTAGCCTTTGAAGTCCAAACTCCTTGTTTGCCACTCGAATTCTCTCAAGTATTTAAAAGAACACAAGTCCAAGGACTTCTCTCACCAAACAAAAACCAAAAAGTGCAAGGAACCCAGGGCTTGAATTGGGCTTTCTGGCCAGCTAGGCCAGCGGCCCATGGACTCATAGTGCCCGGCCACGGAAGAGGTGGTGCTCTCCAGGGCTTCCTTAGATGGACCCAGTGGGCTTTTCCAGCGCCCATGCGGCGACTCCCATTTGCTGGAGGGGCCCGATTTTACCGACAATCCTACAATCCGGCAGGATTCAGAATCGAGCTTTTACGATAAACTCATATAGAACGCTCTCTGTCCCAGAGGGGGGGGGTGAAGGTCCAGCGTGCAGCTCCAGGTTCAGTTGGGTACAACTTCGCCAGGCCATCTGTCATCCGGTCGCCGGAGATTGCGGCGGCCAGCTCCTCAGCAAAAAGAGTCGTAACATACGAGACCTCCGGTGGATTTCCATGGGTCGAATTGGATGCCCGTTGGTTGGTAGCTGATTTTAAAGGGCCACCCTAAGCAGATGGAAGTTAGACTGTAACTTTTGGGGAAAACAAGGGGTGTTCAGTGTTTTTTTTTGTTTTTTCCGAAACCACTCTCGTTTTTTGGTTTTTCCCCGCAGAGGGGTCAACAGCATCCAAGTGCTGTCCAAGCAGTTGATGTGGTTTTTGTTTCAGCCAAGCTGAGGTAAGCCTCAATTTAAGGTTGGATTGCATTTATGGCTTCGGGATTTGAACCCCTGATTCTTGTGTCGGGCGTCAGGGGACCCTTCACAAAGGTTCTCAGATTTCTCATTCTAAGCTAAATTATATGGGATATTCGAAGACACTTCCTGGGTGTTATCTTTGGCGTTCTCCCTGTGCATTTCTGTGTCCAGACCTTCGTGGTGCACCTTGTTCTCTTTTCTTGGTAAGCCCCCTGGAACAATAAAACATGTCCAGCAGTGATAGATTCCCTCTAAAAACCCACAGGGGAAAATTAAAAAAAACAGAAACACCAACTATTCTTAAGCAAATGGATGTAAAGATCCAACCCGCAATAGCAATCAATTGGACCATGAGGCCAATCGGCTGCTAAAAAAAATTGCCCCTGGACCGAACGCCGAAGTCCCGCCTGGTCGAAGGCTTTCAGAGTCCCAGGCTCAGCCAACTTCTGCAGGCCCGAGTTCGGCAAGGCCTGGCCAACGTCAGCCGCATGTTCACCAAGACTACCCTCGCAGTCCACTGACATGGAACCGGTCAGGGGGTGAAGCCAATTTTCCTCAAAAGGAAAACCAAAACTTGGTTGCTGCAACCCAAAAAGTGGTACCTAGAGTATGACCCTTAAAACATGGGTCCATGACCCTTTAGTTTTTGGGTAATGACCCCATGTTTTTAAGGGTCATGGAGACCGCATTTTCATCAAGACTTGGTTGCTGCAACGACCCCCGTGGGAAACACAGAGAACTGAACAGAAAGTCTTAAGAAAGCCCCCTGCGGGCGGGCGCACCCGCAAAAAGTTGTTCACTTTTGGGGGGTTTGGTGGGGAAACCGCCTTCATTTCAACAAAAAAGTTAAAGTCTAAAGAGCCAACCCAATAGCAGTCAAGAAAAGTGGGACGTCCAAGAAGGATCGACACCGGGAACGTGCTTGCCGTTTCTTCCTCAGCTGCCGGATGCCCTTAAGGCCGCGTCCGCTTTCTTTGCTGGGTGCAGTGCAATGCTGCTTGATCTGCAGAGCTGGGGCGGGCACATGCTTGTTGGCTTAGATGGCTGCTTGCCCAAATGCCCAAAGGAGCGCAAAACGGGTACGGTATGTGTCAAAGTACGGTGCTATCCCAAGAACGGTGGTTTTCTCTTCAACCAAACCTAAACAAGGGCACCCCAGAAAACACACCCGCATATGCTCACGGCCCACGTGCACAAAGCGACATGGGAGCATGATTCTGCAACAGGGGGCCTTTGGTCCGACAGTTGAGCACCGGATGCTCTGCAATTTTGCCCCCGGAAACATCACCCTGATGGACTAGGGTGTTGGCGGAAATGGAGAGAGCCTGATAACGTGGGACTTTCTGGTAACCAGGGGTTATCCGGACTTGCGTTGCAAACAAAAACAAATGTAAGGTTGGAATGCTGGCCGATGATGCAGCCAAGCCCAGGTCCTGTCAAACCAGTGAGGCACCAGTGGGATGGCCTGAAGTCGTACTTCTACCGATTCACCACAACTGCAAAGGCAGAGGTTTAATCCGCTGCCTCTATGGTACTAAACTGGCTAAAGGGGCAAGCCTCCGCTTGCCTGTAATTGGACGTAGGCCGCACTCATGCAACACAAGCATCTCCCGTGCCACATCTCGCCTTCACATCAACGACGAGTTCCAAATCGTTGCCGGGATCCTTTGTCATGGCCTCAGGGAAGATTTCGCACAAGCCTGAAAGAGACACCGCCATGCAACAAAATCCCGACATGGAGAAGGTCCTGCAGTTGGTACTCGCATCCATTTCGCTCAAACATGACCCAACTGCCAAGTGCAACACCGCCATCCGAACATGATGGACTCCATCTCGATATGGCCTGCGCACTTGGCTCAGAGGTATCGAAGCAGACGCCATCAGCTCACCCTGACATGCGCCTTCGCAAAGTCATAAACCCCGGCATGCAGAATTGGTACGCATGGAGCGAACATTTTGCGTGTCCGCAACATGAGCAATTGATAAATCTGGTCCGACATGTATGGCCTTGACCTTGACTACAAATTAGATCAAAATCCTGTATGGAAAGGAGATACCCAAACCAAACAGGAACTTGCTCCCAGACAGACTCCGGGGACCGATTGATAGCGACCACTCACCAACTTCCTATCATTGATCAACTGGAATTCAAGTTGACTTTTGACATACCCTTCCTCTCACTAAGATGGCATTTGTGGTAGAGTACTTGGAAGATCCGTTTCCTCATGGAGCGACCGCCTAGGTGCCACTGTTAGTGGGAGAGAGGGTAGGCGGACTACCCCAAAGACTACTTTCCTCTTGGAAATGACCTTTTTGCACTTCCATGTTAGTTGGTGGGAGGGTAATCCAAGTCCAATGCCCGCCTGTCAGACTGTCAAGTGCCATGGGAGAGAGGGAAATCGGCCCCGCCTGATGACCACCTCAGGCTTCTCTGAAGTTCCCAGCGCTTTGGTCAAGGACTCCACCGCCTTCTTCCGAAACCTCGAAATGCCAGCGCTGCAGCCGCTTCAGCCGGGTGGGGCATGTCAAACAATGTCAAAAGGAGTTGAGCCTTTCGTGAACATGCTGTGAATATGACTTGTTGTTGCCGGGCAATGATCAGCCATGCTTCGCTATCACTCGGTGGTTGCCTCACCCTGCAAACAAGGTTGCATCTTCGCTGGCCAATTGTTGCGCAACAACGTAGCTGGCGCTTGATTTTGCTTAGGCTTTGAGCATAGGTGAGCATATCCGTCCTTCGCAGTTTCCTTCAGGATTATTTGCGAATCATAAGCTTGCCGGCTGAGACTAGCACCCCAATCACCAGTCAAGGGGTCCACCCGAAACCGCGAAGAAAGCGAGGCATTTGGGCTGCGGGCTGGAAAATGAGGAAGCTGAAGGGGTGATCTGGCGAGCGCTGCTGAAATGTAATCCTGCAGTCGCACGAGCTCAATGAGGGGTGCAAGGGTTCAAATGAAAACCAATTCAAAACCAATCTTTTCGGGAGGTTCTCCATTTGGAGACAAACATTCTGACGCCAGCCACGAAACCAAGACACAAATAGGCAAACACCTTGCAATCGGAGCAATGGAACCTCTGCAATGATGTCAACCAGGTTCTTGACTACATGGGCTGATGCTAGAGGATGTCCCAGTGTCGAGGGAACAGCCCTCCGCTTAATCTACACGGCTCATGTACCCGCAGTCTACCTCCAACCACTGTTTTCATGGAGTATGGGATGCGTCATCACTGCATAGCAGCTAAAGTCATATTTGGGACATACATATCATGTATGTCCCATGCGCATATATAGTTCATATATTTATACATGTATACATACAGTATGTATGTATGTATGTATGTATGTATGTATGTATGTATGTATGTATGTATGTATGTATGTATGTATGTATGTATGTATGTATGTATGTATGTATGTATGTATGTATGTATGTATGTATGTATGTATGTATGTATGTATGTATGTATGTATGTATGTATGTATGTATGTATGTATGTATGTATGTATGTATGTATGTATGTATGTATGTATGTATGTATGTATGTATGTATGTATGTATGTGTGTGTGTATGTGCATTCACTATGTGTGCATATAGAGGTGCATCTCAGTGATAGTGCATTTTGACAGGTGGCAGTGGAAAACGGTGCAGTGGCAAACCGTGCAATGGCCCGGTACCATGCTCACTGCAGTAGGCTAGGAGAAATCGAAACCAACCTCCGCCATATCTTGGAAACGGTCAAAGCGATGTAGCCAGTGATGCAAAACCGACTGGACAAGGGAAGACAGGGCACCGTTAAACTTGAAAGAACATGCTACCTTCACCCAAGGGCACAACATTTTGCCACACTGATTGCTTTGGACGCCGCTCTGGCAATGCGACTGGCGGCTATCCACAGCACTTGTATTCAATCCACTGGTTGAGTTGGATTAGGTCGCTTGCACCATGGACAAAAACAGCTGACTAAGCGGGTTGAAGACAGGATCAGGGTGCATCTGCATTGGTCCTGGTCCGCAATACGGCTATGACCTGCGGCCGCCGGCAAACTGCGACCAGCTCAAACCATCAATTCAAGCAAACATTGGTCTACTTGGAGGCAATAAAAAACATGGAACTCTGATCCTTTGAGTCATGGACATGCACGAAACACACACACACACACACAACGCCCTATTGTTGTCCAGGGATCAATAACGCCGTCCTATGAATAGGGGGCGGGTGCCCCCCACTACAAGGGGGCCACCCCTATCAGCCAGGGGGTGGCAGTAAGCTGCAAGCCCTGCCTCGGACTGCAAGTCTTGCATCTCCGGAAGCGAGATGTTGTACTTTTGCTGGAAGACAATCTGTCGGAAGTCAGCACCCACCACCCTCCCACATTGCCACCCCCCCTCACTCTCCAGCTGTCTAGCTCCTCGACCTCCACCCACTCCCCCACCCAGCCAGTTCACTTTTGATCGCCTTCTATTCTAAGCTGGGGAGAGGCTTGCCATTCCCATCTAACATATTTGGCTTGGGGAAAGGGTTCGTGCACCCTCTTAAGCATGGCACCAACTGCGAAAAGTAGCCGAAGCCAAACCAGCCAAACCAGCCAAACGAACAGTTGAAAAACAGAAACGCCTCTTTGCGTACCTAACAAAAACGACTAACATGATGTCAACCAATCTGAGTGGTGAGTGATGTCCCAGTTTGGCAAAACACGAATCGTATCCCATCAACACCCGTTCGCACTCGGCCTGGACACAACTCATGAACAACATTAATATCGGATTCGAACACACTCAGGCTATTCCCCCCTATGCAAACACAATGGGCATGTGCTTGCCTCCGACACGGCGGTTCGCGCTGCACAATGATTCGCGCATTGCTCGTACCTGGCAGGAGTTGCTCGAGAGCAAACCGTGGTGAATTGCATGCCGAATGAGTGCAACCATGAGTGGCACAAATTGTCTGACTCAAAATCGTGGGTTTCAAGCCCGTTTTCGCCGAACCGACACTGGGTCCGATTCCCCGCTTCTAAGAAATGCATGCAGAAAAATCATGATTGCGATACCGAAGTGGGACTCTTCTTCTAAATGCTTGCTCACTTCGAAGGGGATTCCCCGCTCCGCCCACATGGCAACATAAACCCAACATACATTCCACGAACATGAGTTGGACCCCCTTTGGGTTGGTATGTGTGTGTGTGTGTGTCTTGTCCTATGTGAAGTCCCCCTAGGTCAAGAGGAAAACAAAGGAAAGGGTCCCCATTTTGAAACGACCAGTTGGCCTTGCTTTCCCAAAAAGGACAACCATTGGGTCTACCTTGGGGTGGCTCTGCTGCCAGGCACTCCACGAAGAATCTCGCAAATTCAGCGCCGCCTGAGGCGCCAAAAGTTGCCTTTGATCTCATCCGCACACTGCTTCCGGCACCCTGGCAAGGTGGTGAAATGTTTGCCGGAAGCGGGGGCAAGTTCATGTTCCCAGCCGCAACCTGCTCCAGGGCCCAGAAACCACTGGTGAAATGGAGGTGTGTTTGGGGGTTTTGGATGGTTTTGGTTCATTCTTGGGAAGCCACAAGCACCACCACATGGTTTTTCCACGTCTTTTTGTGTGCAGTCCCCCTAGTTTGACGCATGCCCTGCTGACTGGTGCTAAGCTAACCGGCCGGGCCACCGGGCCCAAGGTGTATCTTTTTGTACCATTTTCGAGGTCTGAAAGGGACACATCCTCCTTGCCTTAAGGGGGGGGGGAAGCGTCTGAAGTGGAGCCTTCCACTTTAAAAAAAATCCCCCCCCCCCCCTCCCGAACGCTTCGGCACACTCCAAAACGCTCGGCCACCATCCCTCTTTCAGTTTTTGTTTGGCTTATTCCACAGGGAACCCATCCATTTTGGATGGGATACCCATTTTTATTGAGACCCCGGAAGCCTTTGGTCGCTTTGGCCCCTGTTGAACTCGCCCCCGGTTCAAAGGAGCGGGCTAAAAACTCAAAGATGGCGTGCAGCACCAGACGCGGAAAACAATCACAAAGCCTTGCACCCACCAGTTGTGGTAGGGAACACCAGCACCAGTTTCAACAGGGAGCAGCTGGCAGAAGTGTTTTGTGGCCATTCATCATTCCCTGCATGTAGCAAGCAATCCTGCCAACCAGCCGAACAGTTTCCTCCAGTAGAGAGGTTAGAATAAGGGTACCAACTGTTTTTTCTGTAGTCTATTTTAGTAGGGGAACCCTCCCCCAAAAAAGAAACGGTAAAAGGGGGCACTACTGGGGGACCTATTGTTGGGATCTTCTCGAGAACGTCGTGCAGGGCTTTCCCGACAGGTGGATTCTCTCTCTCACACGGCCACGCTGGCACCCCAGCGCCCCATGAAGCTTTGCTGGAGGAGTTCGGAGCAATGGCAAGCACTGAGGGCTTTTTTTTGTTGGGTGCCTCCTGCAGCACTCGGTTGCTTTTTGCTCCCCCGCTCAAAAAATGACTTTTGGTGGTTTAATGGGAAACCCATTCGTTGGCAAAAACATCCGAGCAACATGCACCAAAGAACAGCAGGGGCTGTGGTTCCACAACACTAGCTTGCCTCCGATCCAACTCTTATCCTCTTGTTAGCATGCCATCTTGAGCGCAGGTCTCTGTGTGATCTATACGTCGTGAAGCTTAACTTGGCCCGTCTCAATCGCCGCCGCCTTCCATGGGTGGACCGGAGTGTGGCATCTTCGCTTGTGCGCCTGAAATCGCCGCCCGAGCGGCATGCGCTAGAATTGCGATGACTGCGCAATCAAATCACAACCGCAACACGTATGGGTGTTGTTTCCACGAAAAAAACAGGACAACCCCCTTGAACAGGGTGCCCCGCTTTTGTTCATGTCAAACCTTTTTTAGGGGGGTGCAATTGGCTTTGGAAATGCAAACGGCGCTGCACCACCCTTGCCTGACTGAGGATGCTCTCCTTAGAGCACGCACTGGCAAACACCGATGGCATTCCTGGATCGCCTCCGTGGAACCACCCCGCAAATGTTCAGTCCATGCGTCCGTTTCCCAGGGGAAGCCATTTTGGGTGACCCATTTTTCGACCCGCTGCCATGTGACCCTTGTCAAAGGTGGTTGGCAGAAGGGAGAACAAAAAAACACGCCATGAGCCGTAGCCGGAGGAAACCAGAACCGCGACTCGCCTTCCATCTATTGCTACCTGCCCCATTCTTTCCAGGGATTCTTCTCTCTACGCTTTCTAGAAAACCTCCGCAAAACTCAGGGAAACGGATCCGGATGGCTGGAAAGCATGCAAAAACAACAATCAAGCCCTCGCCTAGGCCAAGCCACTCTCGCATTTGGCTTTGCACTCGCCGAACTCCATGGAGGCGAGGAATCCGGTGCTGGGGCAGTCTTGCAAACATTTCCTGGGCAGTCTTGAATCCTTTCCGCTGGCTTGCTGTCAAAAAGAAGCGGCGAAACGGCACACACACACCCACCCCCAGAAACGTGGGACTTGTGTGACGGAATGCTTCGCACGGCTTCGACAATGCCTGCCCCAGTGAAAGCCCTAAACACACCCAGCCCCGCAGGGGATTCCTTTCTTGGGTCCTGGAATCTGAACCAGGGGAATCGCAACCTTGCCGTTCCCGTTTCCCGCCGAGTAACTCCAACGAGCGTGCAGAAGAAAAGTGCGCCTGTGCAAAACTTGCGACCGGAGCCCCAAAACCATCCTGCTCAGAGGAAGACACATGGCAAGTGCGCAAACCCGCTGCTGCGCTTTAGCCTTGGTAACACGGACGGCACATGCGTATGCGATGCGCCTCGGCCAGTCTTCTGCTAGGACACTGCGACATACACCGCGTGTCTGCATCCTCGAATTCTTGCAGCCTTAGCAAGCAGCCGTGCACGTCCAAGCAACGGGCTCGATCCCCATATTTCGCCTGAGAACATCACCACCAAGGGACACTCACCTTTCATGGGTCAAAATGTGATGTCTGAAACCACCAAAAAGGGAGATATAGGGACCCCTGTTCGAAGAAGGAAGCCGGGAGGAAAACACAAGCCACCTGCAGCCTCGGCCTAGACCTCACCTCACCAAGGGTTTTTGACCAAATACGTCGAGGATATGCCGGGGAAACAGCGGGAGAAGAACCGGGTATTTCGGATCCAAGAAACCACGAAACGGGAAACCGGCGGTTTTAACATGTTTTCACGCACCCTCAAGCTGTGCACCTTCAAATGAGCACTTGTCTTGGCTCGTAGAAGTTCGGGCCTTGCCCCGTCGGCTTTCACCCCTCCCCCAAATAAACAAATAAACAAATAAATAAACAAATAAGTAAACACATAAATAAATAAACAAATAAATACATAAACAAACAAATAGTAAATAAATAAGACAAACCCACCCTGCTTCTGCAGCTTCTGGGGGGCCGGCTGCAACTCTGCAGCTGAAACGGCATGAGCCACCTGCGCATGGAAGTCACGACCAACCAGGGTTGGCCATGACAAGTCACAAACAAGGAGACCCTGTTGTTCTGCAGTTTCGACCGGATTCTTGCGCCTTGGCTTGAGGATTCAAACATCTCAGGGCATGTGCACCCTCAACGGAGCCGCTGTCAGCAAAACCAGCCGCCGCTAATCCCCCTACAACTGCTCATAGTGCCCTTTCACCAGCACAGGGAGCACAGCATGTGCTGGAATTGGCTGGTTCAATGCCCGTCTGCCAGTAGGGACGCCAAGTTCAAGCTGGGCATTGATTCCAGGAAAACCAAACCCATCCCTCAAAGAACAACTCAAGGGACCTTCTGCCTTGATCCGGCAATCCCGGGGCGCCTTTGGTGCCTTGTAGATCGATACGGCGACGCACCCAGCCTCACGGTCGCGCCGTTGGCTCATTTTGGGCGAGTGGTTGGCGCAAGCCCAAAACCAGCGAAACTGGTATGGTCAAAATGGGGGTGCCTAGTCCTCACCCGCAATCTGCCGTGGCACACCAAACCCAGAAGGGAAATCACTACCAGCTGGCAAAGGATTAAGGAATGACTTTTGTTTAGCCCTCGTTAGTCACTCAGCAAGCTCGCAAAGCATCGATCCGGTTGTAATCTTTCTGTGGCCAATTTTGCAGCAGGCATGTAACAAGAGTCGTTCTTAAAGAATGGGGGAACCGACTCCGTCTGAGGCAATGCACCAACACAAGGGGGGCCAACTTCAAGAGGAACCACCTGCAACTGGGGCATGTTGACGTCCGTCAAGCCTGCAATGCTGCCAGGCAAGGCTGACCCTAGCTGTGAAAACATGGATGGCCCTCGTACATGCTTGGAAACGAAGCCAAAGCCAGTGGCAGCCATCTATGTTCAACCAAGATGACGAAAAAAAACAAAAAACACTCAGACGTACCCCGCTAAAAACACTCAGCCATCATGGATCAAATCAAGCATGAGCCTTGCAAAGCAAGGCTGGGTTCTGCTATTTCGTCCGGATTAGGCAACATCATAAAGAACAACGACGAACAAAAAGCATGTAGATCAAACGAGCGTTCCTCTCGCTTCCTGACCCTTTGACAAAAAAGAGTCGTGTAGATGATCGCGTCAATCATCATGAACACAAATGTATTGCAGGCGTCCCAAGGCACCTTTCCAAACCCTTCAGCTTTCATTGCCGGAGAGCTCCGGACAAATCGAGCTCCGGACAAGTATAAGCGCCAAGGCTGCGGTGGAGATCAAGCGGCCTGGGTGACGGTCGCACTTGCCCAAAGGGGCAAAGACCCTCCAACCGACAGGGTCGGACAGGAGGAAACATGAATTTCCATGACCACAGCAGGACAACTTTTTGAGGGCCCTGAGTGAATCGGCCAAAACCAAGAAAACAACAGGCCGAAAAGGCTTCGGGCAGATGAGCAACTGCTTGAAACGTACAATGGAGGGGCCTTCTGCGCTGGCCGATTCCAGACCCGTGAGACGACTTCATGGGGCTGTTGCCTGTTTGGGCCTGTTTCGGCTGGAGATGCTTCAGCCAGTGCCTGTGTCCGGCTCCCCAAAATACACTCCCTACTACTTGGGACCACCTGGTTTTTGAAAAGGAAGATGGTCAGCATTGGTCAGCTTCATGTTCTGTCCTGCTCAAATCACTGGCCAACCAAAAGAAACAAACTTTGGGGCCTTCACTCAGGTGAAGAAGCTCAAGGCTTACTGTCAGTGTTGGCGAGGGCTTCTTTTCTCTGAGGCCGGCGCCTGGATTCCAAAGAGAGTCCTGGGCAGATTCACTCTCCCAGCCAGCATCTGCAGGGTTTAACTCCAAACGCTGGATTGGCCAAAAACTACTTTTTTTTGTTCTTTGCCTCTCAAATGGTTGTCCATCCAAAAATAATCACTTCTTCCTATTAATCAACCTACCCCTAATCATAAAACTCCCCCGAGCCGCGGCAAAAAATCGGCAATACTAAATTTAGATTGGCAAATACTAAACCAATACTAAACTCCTGAGAGTACACATGCTTTCCACCAAGCTCCAAAAATATGCTTATTAGGGGTCCCCCCTCCAGAGTGCGTTTTCGAGCCCGAGCTCCAGGAGCACGATTCCTTTACTAGGCTTGTTCTTACTTCAAAGTTGCAATCTGTGCAGTTATTGCTCCAAATCAAAGGAGATGCACTTTTAAATACAAGTCCAATACTAAACAGCAAACTATCAACTGGATCTAGGCCCAAACCGGCGACCCCTAATAATAAAACTTCCCCCCAGGTTTTTGTTTTCTTTCTTTGGGAGGGCGGAAGACGTTTTTTTTTTGGTTTGAGAGAAGCGATTAAAGTCCAGGAACTTGGGAGGTGAGACGCTCTTGTTGGCATTCTCGGCTTCAGACGGATCAGCCCATGAGCCGAATCGAGGCGCATGGGCCTTGAGCAGCCTACCGTGCCGCCGATCGGTGCAAGGAATGACTTGGCGAGAAAACCAATCTGCTGAGGAACGCGCCTACTACCCGGTGGAGGTGGGGGCAACGGAGGAGGGCGTTATGGAGGTCTTCCCTATGGTGGAGCTGCTTCAATGATGGCGCCAGGCGGCTGGATGCCGGGGAAGTTCAAGAACCAGATGCCAGACACATCCAAAGCACCCATGAATCAAGCGGCCCACCCCCAAGTGTTCAACCAGGTGTTTGCCAGGGCAGCTTGCTGTAGCTCGAACACCTGACGTGAGGAATCCCCAAACGAACCAACTGCAGGCCCCCTTTTTGAGCCGCTTTCGGACAACCTTCATTAATGATGGGGCGCTGTCGAGAAACCGCCGTCCCCGATACCCCGCGCAGATTTCTTCATCATATGGATCCATCCCATCTAACTTCCAGCCGGGCGTCCATTAGCGCGAAGTTACCCTCGGAGCTTGCCAGGAGAAGACTTCTGCTTTCACCATCTGATTCTGGCGATCCATCCTGCGTAGGGCAACGCAAACAGCAAGTCGGCTGCGGAAGTCCGCATGATCCGGTAGGCAGTCTTCCAAATCTAAAGGCTGTTGGATCAACCGTTGTGAACCCCCCTGTACCGGCGTTGCGGTAATCGCACGGGGACATTGTGGTTTGTGTGGATTGTGGGCAGCCAGGCGCATGATGCAGAAACGAAGCTGAGTGATAATTGCAAACCACACCTTGCCAGTACAAGTGAGCTGAGCTAGCCAGCCGGGCGAGTAGAATCAAAGCATGGCCATTGCAATAACATGCTCTTGGAAAAAAAGTGTGATGCGACATCCTTGCCGCCGTGACAACGGCACCTTAACTACAAACATGTTTTCTTCCGAATAGATACATTGACGACCTGCGAGGTGTCAAGCGCCACCCCGAAGCCCCGAAGGAAGGCACTGCACGACTGAGTTTCCCTCTTGTTGGGTTCGCCGTGTCCCCTCAGAAAGGGCCTCCGTCCAAAGTCAAACAGGTCCCAGTCAACACCTGGTCGATGTGCATCCCGCTGTGGATGGACGAAATCATGCACCACCTAAGAAATCCTGGCATAGTGATTCCCCTGTAAATGCCAACCGACCATGGTCGCCCATGGTTTCAATGTGGTGCAGGATTTCGTCCATCCACAGTATGGCTGAGCCCGGAACAGGCAAGGACCGCAAGAGCGGAGGCATGGGACGCTCCTCGCCAAGCTGTGGCATCCGAAAGGACGCTGCTTCGCATAGGTGTCCTGTTGAAAAAATAGATGGTTTTCCCTGGTAAATGGGGCACACAAGCCATCTAAACCAGTGCCTTCTATTTTTGACCACCCTCACCGAAAAAGGACAAGTGCTAGGAGCCTGTCAGGTAGAATAGAATCCATTTGGGAAACCCCCTCTAAAGAGAGAGGCAGAGCCGTGCCAGGTCTGCCGAAGATGGATCTTGCAGGAGGCGTGGGAGCGCCACAAAATGCTATTACTCTAGTGCCTATATCAATATAGCTAGAGTAATAGCATTTTGCACGGTTTTGCACGGTTTGCCCATGCCAGCCCCGTTGGTTTGATACTGGTTCGCCCTTCGGCTTTTTTGTCCAAGGGTCCATCCCGGACGCAAAGGTTCTTTCTAGTGACCCGAATGGTGGAAAAGGGGGTTATTCCTTTCGCTCAACTCGTTTGAGTGGGGAAGCCCACGCCGAAAAAGAAGGACAAAGGCGTCACCGAAGAAGCTTGGCGTGAGTTGGCGGTGCCCCGGGGTACATACTATCGCTTCAGGCTTAATCAAAAGCTGGAACTGGAGTGGTCCCACAACCATGTCAAAAGCCAAAAGGGCGGCTGCACCTGTTTCAATTTTATGGTTGGAACTGTCCCTTACTCACCTTCAATCTTACAAGGTTTCCGTTTTGCACCACGCGGTAAAGTAGTATAGGGGTGTTTTTTGGTTTTTTTTTTGGTCTGCTGCGGCCAGGGCTGGCAATCCGGTACACTCACCCTGCATTGGGCTGCTAGGCCCTGCTAGGCCGACCGATGCCACGAACAGCAGCATAAACCAAATCCAACCGAAATGATCTCCTAATATAAGGTATCAGCTCCTCTTTCACGGCTCTGCTTGTATTGAAAGCCGGGCGCTCATGCCAATTATAATCTAAATCCGCTGGAAGACCTGTCAAAGGACTAAAGAATCTAAATCCTCAGAGCAATGCGACGCAAAACAAGGACGAACGTCCGAACTCCAAACGCGGCTCCCGCAAACTGCGCGGCAACCAACACGTAGACAGCAAGTCTTGTCGGTGCACAAGGATTGCTGTGTTTTCTGGCTTGCGTTTCACTCCACTAAATTTACATCCTCAAGATCCCCGTTTTCAGGGGTGGTAAGTTGAAAGGAAAACCCCAAACAACAAAACACACACAAACACACGCACACGCACACGCACACGCACACACACACACACACACACACACACACACACACACACACACACACACACACACACACACACACACACACACACACACACACACACACACACGCACACACGCACACACGCACACACGCACACACGCACAC